ACCGAAATCACCAGTTGAATGTTTCAACAATTCCTCAAACTCAGAATTTCCAAAATGTAAATTACCTCATTGTATCTCAAAATTGGTTCCCCCCGGAATACTTTAACTCAGAAAATGGTATCACTGCCCCACCAGGTGCACAGTCCGGAAACTTGAGAGTCGTATTAAACACTTTCCCCCTGTATCATTGGATTTAATCACAACCCAGTCATGTCAATTCAACCTCCAAACATCTCTTGAACCTGACAACTTGTCTCCATTTCCACCTCCTTCCACCTCCCAAGACTGGTGGTCTCTCAGCTGGTCTCCTTTCACCCACTCCAATACCTGCCGCCTCCATCATATTCTTCCCACTGCAGCCAGAGTGGTTTAGACTTTCAAAATGCAAATATGATTTTGTTGACACACCACCTCTGCCCCACCCCCACCCCCCTCGCCCCCGCTTAAAGACTTTCGATGGCTTCTCATTGCCTTTAGGACAACATCTTTAATGTGGCATACAAGGCCTTATATGGGGTGCCTCCTACCTGTCTTCCATCCCAGTTCACCTCACACTGCCTCCTGTTCTCTGAGCTCTAGGTCACTAGCTTTTCTGTTCCTTGTCAATACTTCTCTCTGCTTACCATGACAAACCCCACCCCTTGCTTCCTCCTGGCCTTCCAGTCGTACTCTGGAGTCACTGCCTGGGGTGCCCAACTGCAGCACCTCCTCCCCAAAAGAAGTTCTTACTCAGTTGGGAAACCATTCTATGAGGATCCATCTCTTGTCTGTCGGCCCCCTTCTCCAAATCCCCATCTGTCACCTCCCCCTAAAATTCCTGTCTGTCAACCTCCTGAGGCTGAGGCTGAAGTTATAGCCACCCCAGAGGACAGTCTTCTATAGTAACCCACATCAGAGGTGAGGGCAGGGAGAACCAAGGTGGCCAGGTTGTTTTTCTCTAGGAGTGGGGGCATGAAAGAGGGATGGACTGGGTATGCTGGGGAGGATGAGGGAATGGAAAGGCTCAGCTAACAATCTTTGAACTAGAGTGGCTGGGTCAGTCCCCTTGCTGTACAAGTCACTCCTGTGCTGCTGCAAGGTAGGTTCAGGTCACACTGGAGATGTGCTCTGCAATGCCAGGACCTGCCTCCTCTCCCTACAGAGTCCGGGCTGCACCAGAGCATCTGGGAGTTTCTCCTGGCACTCTGTGTGGCCTGGGGTATGTCCTTCCCCCAAGGCCACCAGGGCACCCTGGCTCTGCTGTGGGTCAAGTGTGTTAAGACTTGAGGCTCCACCCAGCCCAGGAATACAGGCCTAAGATGCAGTCTGACTCATCAGATGGTCAAGCTCCTCTTTGGTGCCAGGCCAAGTGTGTGGGAGACTACCTTGCAAGTAATGATGTCAGAACCTAAGGAGGGGACTCTCAAAGGGCAAATGAGACCCAGTCATCTGAGATTTCCCTTGAAGGCATGTGCCACTTGTGTATATGTATGTGTGTATGTGTGCAGATGGGGGTGGGGGGTGGGAAGGAGGGAGGAAGACATTCCTGGCACAGGGGAGGAATAAGCAACCTAAACAAACTTCTAGGGCCTTATGTTCCAGTATCACAATTCAAAGGTCCCTGTTAAACCTACCCACATGGCCATCAGAATGTTCTACTGAGCCGGGGAAATAATGCTAGAAGAGATACTCTCAAAGGACCATTCCAGATCTGCCATTCAGAGATCTGTAAAGCTTAATCCTTTAAAGACAGTCATTTCTGAATTGACTAGGAATGAATATAAATGACTGAAAAGTCCTTGAATATAGGGACCAAATGAATCCCATAGCAGGCAGCAAAATGGCATGATTAACAGTATAAGCTCTGGAGACAGACGCCTAATCTCCACTCCCAGTTCTGCCTCAAACAAGCTGGATTCCCTAGGGAAAGCTACTTAACTTCTCAGTCTTAAGTTGTCCTATCTGTAAAATGGGTATAATAATACTTAGCCCATAGGATGAATGGCTTAATATTTTAAAGTAATGGAACAATATCTGACACATTGTTGTTATGTGCTGTCGAGTTGGACCCGCCTCATAGCGACCCCTCCTTGGGTAGGGCAGTATCACTATGGAAGTAGATTGCCCCATCTTCCTTCCAAGGAGTGGCTGATGGGTTTGAACCACCAGCCTTCTGGTTAGCAGTCAAGTGCCTTAGGCACACGCTATCAGAGCTCCTATCTGACACATAGCAAGTGTAAAAAAAATTTCTCACACTATAGAGTCTTTAAATGTTGTTCTTGGTGGGGATGGGAGGTGATCTTTGTGTCATATTCATGAGGAAAGTGATGAACCAGGCTTCTTTTTTTTTTTTTTTTTAGGATTTGGGTGAAGATTTACAGAGTAAATTCACTTTTCATACAGCAGTTCACATATACTTTGTCTCGTGTCATTGACCAAAATTTACAATGCAGCAGCTCCCCTCCCACTTCCTCCCCACAGTTACCTCCTCCCAGTGTCCATCCCTTCATACTCTTCTGCACCCTGAGCTATCTCCCTGTGCATAAGCAGCCCTACCTTCTCCCATGATTTGAACCAGTCTTCTTAACTCCATTAAACTTTAGACATAAATGCAATCTAAAATGACCATGCAAGCTGAAACCAGACAAAGGAATCTTAATAATCAGTGCAAAAAATTACAATTGTTCTGTGTCCTTTAGAATTTTTTTTGGTCAAAATATTAACTCTCTTACTGTAGATTTTAAGTATATAGGGAAATGAAAAAAAACCCTCATATGTTTAGTACACTGTAGTTTAAAACACTAGAAATATTACAAATTTTTAAATGATTTCTTTCTTTGTAAAAAAACCTTATCAAGAGTAGTTGGAACAGTTCTTGCCTTCTCTTTGTATAACTTACAATACTAAACAAACATCTTTTCTACACTTTGGCAAATTGTCACTCTCCTTCCTGAGTTTGGATCAGTGTCCAACATATTATCCTTTGTGCCTTCAATGTAGTGAAATATCTCCTAGAATTCTCTCAATGTGACATTTCTTTGCCAGCATCACTTGCTCTGGGACCTCTTCATTCTTTCCTCATTTATATTTTTAACATTGGTTTCAGGTTCCATCAACATAAATAGAATCTCGAGGGTCCCAACTGTTGGAAAGTCACCAAGTGCTTGCACAGAATGCTGTAAAATTCCACTCTGGAAATTAGGAACATAAAAAAACTCAACCTATTCAATGTAGCTAGTAAGTGTTAAGTGGTGGGATGAATCAATAAAATAATAAAGCAATTGAATGAATTAAACTGTATTGTGAAATGTCTGTAGTTGTCAGAAATCAGCCTGTGATTGGATGTTTAAGGTGTCACATCGAGAAATATAATCATGTACTCTTTAAGAATCTTATGAAAGTTATGGCCCCCCCCCCCTCTCTACAAGAAGGCACAGAAGCAGATACAACATTTTGTATAGCATTTCTGGGAGTTTACAAAGCCCTGGTTAAGAATCTAGAATTTTATTACTAGATAAAACCTGGCCAATGTCTTGTTTCAGAGCCATTATAAGTCTTCAAAACTTAGGGCACGTTCTAAGGTAAGGAAAACCTTGCTTTGGGCATATTCTCTGCCAACAAAAAGTTACACTTAGTAGTGATTCTTTCCCCAGTGGTTCAGTGATAGAATTCTCACTTTCTATGTGAGATATCCAGGTTCAATTCCTGGCCAATGGACCTTATGCACAGACACCACCCATCAGTCAGGTTTCAGTGGAAGCTTCCAGAGTAATATGGGCAGCATTTCACTGTGTTGTGTGCATGGGGTCACCATGAGTCAGGAGCCAACTCAACTTTTCAATATGCAACTCCGTTCAACATAAGCCTTTTCAATTGCAAATCACCATCTCTAAAACTTTTTATGAGAGTATAGGCATTACAAGGAGCTCTGGTGGCTCAGTGATGAAAACATTCAGCTGCTAACCAAAAGGTCAGAGGTTCAAACCTGGCAGCCACTCTGCAGGAGACAGCTGAGGCAGTCTGCTTCCATAAAGATTTGCAGCCTTGGAAACCCTATGAGGCAGTTCTACTCTGTCCCATGGTGTTGCTATGAGTCAGAATTGACTGGTTGGTAATGTTTTTTTTAAAATAGATATTACAAAGCCTGACTGAAAAGGCAAACTAGCCAATTATACTGTTGAATAACACAGAAGTATTAGCAGATCATCCTGAAAATTGATTACCCTGCACACGAGATCAGCCACTATTGGCACTGAAGCTGCTGAGTAGGACCTGAGCATGTTGCTGGTGGCTTCCTACTCTTCCTGTCTTTTATTTCTTCCGCCTCCACTTTTCCCTTTTATCTCATCTCCTTTTATTCTTTTTCCCATTCTTCTTTTCCCACTACCTCTGCTTAATCTAGGCTGTGGAGCAAGAGAATTTTAGATCCTCATTAAGGCCAATACAGAAAGACTGTCCTGAGTGGGTCACACTGAATTCAACCTTATTGGAGGCTCTGAGAACACCCCACCAATATCTAAGAAATGTGTTCTTGGATAGCTTACCATTCGGGAGAAGCCATGTTGAGCAACGTAAAAAGTTTGGGGATTTTTTCCCCCCCCCAATTGATTGCTTTTAAGGGAAGAAGTTAGCCTAAATAAAACCTGCTGGTGAAGTGGCAAAATGATTCTTCCATTGGAATGAGCTTCATTTTCTTTTATTTTGGTAAGAAACTTGGCTCTTGATTGGAAATGTACGTCACTCTAACTACTCAAGGGCAATGTGATAAAAGTCCTATCAGACCAAGTGTCTAAATGAACCTGAAAGTCTACCAAGGTCACAAATGATGTACCTCAAGCCAAAAGATCTCCCCTGGGCTTGTTTGTTTTGACTTGTAACCACAAATTTATCTTGTCTGAGTGTCCAATCACATTATAAAACAAAGCGTACAGTCCAACAGTGTAGCATCCTCCAGAGCAACAGGAGTCATAGATGCAACTTTCAGGGGGCTTCTGATTTTTTTGTCCCTTTGATTTCCACAGGACTTTAAATTGCTTTCCCTGAGGTCAAAGAAGGAGAGATGATTTTGGAAATGCTCAACACAATGCATTATAACATCACCAGCATGGTGCCTGAAGTCATGCCTGTTGCCACCATGCCAATCCTGCTACTCACTGGCTTTCTTCTCCTGGTTTGGAATTATGAGGGCACATCCTCAATCCCAGGTAAATAAGTCACTTATTTCTGTCTCTAAGATTGTTTCCTTGGGCTTTTGGTCAGAGTGAGTAAAGAAAATTTTGTATAAAGATAAAGAGTCAGCCTCGGGATATCTGTGAAGACCAAGCCATGTTAGCTAACTAAGATACAGGTAAAAATAACTTTAATACTAACTATCTGCATGTTTTTAATGAAAATGCTGTGGTAAAGTTGACTTGGCATGAGTATCCTCTAAGACAAGCTTGAGATGGGGTAGAGCAAGGTAAACTTTAATTCCAGATTCTCTTCTTTTGCTTTCTTTTTATTGATTCCCAGTGTTCTCTGAGGGTGGAAATGTCTCTGGAATGCCTTCTACAGTGGCCTTCTCCTCCCTCCTACCTTGTGTCATCTTTGCCCTCTCCCTTCCTTGTATATATGCTTTTTCTTTATCCCACTCTTCATTTTCTTTTATTCCTTGGAGGTTTAGTGACAGCAGTGCTACCATAAGTGTTGGATGGGACTGGGCAGCAGGAGAAAATGATCATCACTACTGTTCCCTTTGAAGAGCAAACTGTGATAGAATCTCCAGCAAAGTGTGTAGGTCAATCAAAAGTACAGCATAATGTAATAATCCAGAAAGTTAAATAGAGAACCCTACCAAGTCCACCATAAAGCTGGGACCATCAAATAATCACTTCTGACTGTTCCTTTAGTTTTTTGTGAAAATTCCTCATGGCAAGGTATCTGTCCCAAATCCTGTAAAATACCCGCTATGGATTTATTTGAAGAGCATATTTACTGCACAATTTTAAGTGTGATTGTCTTTGTCACAGTGTGCTGGGAGTGTGAGGGATTGGTACAAAATGCCCTGTGTGGATTCTTTTACAAAATTTCCCCAATAATTGCCTGTATTTGTATCTGATTCAACCTGCTATTTTAGGTTACATTAATACCCAATTTCATGTAGAACATTGAGTTAATTTTGTTCTCAATTATACCCTCTCCTTCGCCCCCAGAGGTAAATACTTTCCTGGATTTTGTGCCAAGCACTTTCCTGCTTTTTTAGAGTTTGCATCTCCAAACTGTATAGTTTAATTTCAGATCTTATGTTATCTCTCATACTGCTTTTGCTCAATATTATGTTCGTAAGATTTGTCTATGTTGTGGCATGCTGTTGAAGTTTATTTATTTTCATTGCCATGCTGTAGTCAATTATGTGAACATCGCCTGGCTTATTCACCAGGTCTACTGCTTATGGGTATTTGGGTTGCCTTCAGTTTGAGCCTACTGTGAACAGTGCTGCTATGAACATTCATGTGCATGTCCCTTGGCCACCATGTGCATGGGTTTCTTTAGGGCATAAACTAGGAATGAGGTGCAACAGTTTCTTGATTATGACTGCTGGTGTGAGGTCTCAGCTATTGGCTTCAAGGAGGGGTCTTTGCACAAAAATACAGTATTCATTGCTTCTCTTGGGGTGTGAAAGAGGCCCCCACAATCCCTACATACCTAGATAAGCATTCCCCTAGATATGCAGAGCTCAGTTTAGGGTGGATACAACCAGAATATTTCCCTAGTAGTCTACCCTTCCTAGAGCAGTCTTCTCCCCAGACAGTGTATAAGATACACACATAAATGAGAAGATCACATTGTGTTATAATCATTTGCTTTGGCAAAAAAAAAAAATCACTTACTCTCCTTCTCTCCTGCCCCAAGACTCTAATGGGGACCAAGTTATATTTATCCTACCATCTCCAGTTCTTAATTAAGGGTTAGTGTCTATTCCTAGTAGGTCTCAGTTAGTGTGTTTGGTGAATTAAATTGACATGCAATTGTTCACTAAGATCCAAAACTCTTATTCTCTTCTGGCTAAAACCTTCATGTTATTAAACTAGGCAAAGAATTTATAGCAATCTCCTGTTTTCAGTAACTACAACTCTCTACTGCCATATTTTAAATTTAATAGTGATTCTCAAATATTCAGACTTTCTACATGAAACCAAAATTTTAGATAAAAGATGAAAAGTGCAGCCTTTTATTTCTATGTCTGTGTTTCTCATTGGAAAAAAAACAAACCTCACTGCCACCCAGTTGATTCTGACTCATAGTGACACCTTTTGGGTTTCCAAGGCAGTAAATCTTTATGGCAGTAGATTGCCCAGTCTTCCTTCCACTGTTTCTCATAGAGCTGGTATATTAAGTAAACAAATGTTTGTTGAGCAAGTCTATTTCCAAATAGCCATCAATTTAAAAAATGCATTCCAGAAGCATTTATATGTGCACCTACAATGTGCCCAGCTATAAATATCCAGCAAAGTATTTTGTTATTACAAGTATTTTAGTTGATTAGAAGTTGGCAAATCTGATGATATTTTCAATCTTTTTAAGAACTTAATGAAATTATTTTAATATAAAGTTAGTCATCTGCTTTGAAATTTAGTATTATCAGAACAGTCACTAGATTGATAGCCCTTTGATGATATTTTGCTTATTTAGATATTAACAAAAACTGTCTCTTTAAAAGAAAAAAAAATAATAATCTCACAGTCTCAATCACATTAACTCAGTTATTGCAAAGTCAAAAACCAAACATCATTTGCTGAATTTGGGACTAAAAATTCAATTTAGATGATTCAGGCAAAAGTTTAGATTATCTAGGTTATAACACAACTCTTACCCATGGAGTAAGAGTGCTAGTTCATACAGTTGAGCGTGTTTTAGCATTGAAAGAATGGAATCAGAGGAAAAAGATTTAGAGCAGCTCCTTCACAATAAAATACCTAAAATCATTCAAAAAGTTTTTAATCTAACTTTTCACCACCACTGGTAAAGTCAAGGCACCAGATGTGGTCTCTGCTGTCAAAGTAGCATTGTGCACATTCCCCAGTGGCTCCCTGGATTCTTGTTCTTTACAACTCTGCCATCATCTACTTAAGCAAGGACCTGAGTGCTTGGCCAGCTGCTCCTGGGTATACATAGATCACTGGACTCAAACTCTGGTTTGACCAGACTTATTGCTAATTCCTCACTTCTTAGCTATATTTTTCCTAATGAGATTCAGCTTTTCTTAAACTGAGTTCCTTTGGAGGGAGAAGAAAAAAAAATAAGAATGTTCTTTGTTTAAATGTTACCTTTGCAGATCTTGTTTCTTTCCGTTGAAAAGAGCACACCAATATGATCATCCGTTCTGTCAAAACCAAAAGTTTTCAGGCAAAACCAAGCAGCCAAGAAGATCTATTAGCTTGTCACTTACACTGGCTTCCCCGTTTGTCACCAGACGGATGCCTGATTTGTACCTGAAACTCACTAGCATGAGTTAGCGTGGCCCAAAATTAGCAGACACATACCCCAGTTCACTCGGGCTGAGATGACTTGAGGCCAAATTGAACTGGTGTGCTGTGGGAACTAAGCTATTTTTTATTCATTGAAGGGTGAAAAGCCTCATGACAAGTTTCCTTTATTTTGTTTAATATTTTTAAGGGATTCACAACTACACATCAGAAGAGGTAAAAAGACCACAGATATATAAAAGAACAAGGACAATAGCAATAAAAGGCAGTTTCTGTTTTTGATGTTGCTAAAATACTGACTGTATTGTGATTGTTTTCCTAGGTCCTGGCTATTGTATGGGAATTGGCCCCCTCATTTCACATTGCAGATTCCTGTGGATGGGGATTGGCAGTGCCTGCAACTACTACAACAAGATGTATGGGGAATTCATGAGAGTTTGGATATGTGGAGAGGAGACACTCATCATTAGCAAGTGAGTCTATTCATAGTCTGAAATATACAATTTAAATTTGAGGTTGGGCTTCTATTAAAAAATGACAGCTTCTTTCGATATCCTGATGTAGCTTCTGAAGCTGTGTTTTAACCACTGAAATGAAACTGAGCAATTCCCAGGTAAAAATCTGATGCTGCAGACAAAAAGAATAAATTCAGCTTTGCTTGAAGCCAGAGGCACAACAGGTAAAGAACTCTGGAAAGCTGAGAAACTGTGCAAAGTGTCTCTGGGCAATGAAGGTAGAGACTTAGAGTCCAGAGGATTTGTACTTGAGGGAGAGGCATCATCTTTTCTGGTTTCCTAAGTTTGGGGTCTTATGTCTGCAAATAAGCACTTAAAAAAAGAAAAAAAACTGAGGCAAAGAAATCTGACTGTACCAAACTGCTAATGTGTTTCTAATGCCAGGCTGCTGAGAATCTCTAGGCAGACAGTAGAAAATAAGCCACTGTATTTGCTGGGGTCTTAAATAAATCAGGTACAAAATTGCCTGTCCAAAAAAAAATTATTTTCCCTCTCTCTGCACTGTAAGGAGTTCTGGTGGTGACACTGTGGTTAAAGCACTGGGCTGCTAACCAAAAGATTAGCAGTTCAAACCCACCAGCCGCTCCACAGGAAGATGAAGCAGTCTGCCTCCTTGAAGATTTATAGCCTTGGAGACTCTATGGGAGCAGTTCTACTCTGTCTACAGGGTCGCTATGAGTCAGAGTCAACACAATGGCAATGAGTTTGGTTTTCAGTTTGCATTGTTTGTATTTCCTAGATAATGTAGCATATTGGAGTCACTCTGTTCACTGCCATCGAGTTGAATCCAACTCACAGCAACCCCTCTAAGGCTAATCTAATTTGCGTCATTTGATTGTGAAGAGCCAGTTTTGCAAAAAACTAGTTTTCTTATTTATTGATTCTAAAACATGGAGAATTTCAAAGAGAGCGTATGTCACTAGACTTTCAGCTATCTTTCCTATACATTTAGCAAAGCTATCTGCCAACATTTTCTCATTAAGGAATTTTTATATTTATTAATCCTGACAGGGCTTTATCTACAAACTAAGACTGACCATGGTGGTTTATTGATTTATTAGAATTATTTATTCAGATGCACAGTTATTTCTGGAAACTGCATTAGTCTTTTCAGACCAACATTGCACACATTGTTGTTATTGTTGTTATGTGCCATCGAGTTGGACCCAACTCATAGCAACCCCTCCTTGAGTTTCCAAGGCAGTATCAATACTGAAGTAGATTGTCCAACCTTCCTTCCAAGGAGTGGCTGGTGGGTTTAAACCGCCAGCCTTCTGGTTAGCAGTCAAGTGCCTTAGCACATATCTTGTCATAAATTAGTGATATCCTTAGAGCTCAACTCTTTGAACCAAATATCTAAAAAAAAAGGGAACAAGGGAGAAAATTTGTCACACAGCTTTCTCCCACTATTCAAAAGTACAGCTTTACTATGAAAGTCTTTGTAAGCTGAAATGGCATAAAGTGAAGACCGAATCAATGACCATCAGTCTGTTTTAACTCATAGGGACCCTACAGGACAGAGTAAAACTGACCCATAGGGTTTCCAAGGCTGTAAATCTTTAGGAAGCTGACTGCCTCATCTTTCTCCATCTTTCTCCTGTGGAGTGGCTAGTGGATTCAAACTGCCAACATTTCGACTAGCAGCCGAATGCTTTAACCACCACCGGAGTTCCTTAAAGCAAAGAAATAATTACCATTAATTTATATGGGAAAAAATTTTGAGCGTTCCCAGACACCCAGAAAATAACTTACCAAATCATACCAAATAACACGTAAAACCTAAAATAACACTAACTACTCTGTCCTATAGGGTCACTATGAGTCGGAATCAATTAGATGACAGTGGGGCTTTTTACTTTTTGGGTTTTGTGGAGAGTGTTCAGAGACACAGTTCAAAGCTTTGGTGGTCTGATGCTGAGATGCTGAGTGTACTTCCCAGGGAAGGAGCTTGGTGATGCCACTCGCGATGCTCGGGGACCATGCTGCCTTTTTACTGGCGTGCAGCAAAACAAAGCAGAACGCTAGTTTTCACTTTTGCCAACCAAAAACCCTCTTCAGATTTCTTTTGGTTAGTGAAAACAAGTAAAAGGAAAGTGGCGTAAAGCAAACTTTTGAAAAGTAGGGGATACCTGTGCCTCCAAATATTTCAAACTACTCAGAAATTTTTTATTTTTATACCTTGATTATTGCCTTTTTTTTTTTTTTTAAGCGGTATTAGACACTTTTAAGAGTATCTACTAAGGCAGACCATGTTTATAAAACTAAGCATGAATATGACTTCAGGTGGAAATGTCATTTCATTAGGTTTCATGGTGCCCAGTGGTTCTCCAAATGTGGGCCCTGAAGCAGCAGTTCAGCATCTCCTGAGAACTTGTTAGAAATGCACACTCACGGGGCCCCACTCTGACGAACTAAACAAGACACTCTGGGGTAGGACTCAGCAGTCTATTTCAATGAGCTCTCCAGGTGGTTCTAAGACACACTCAAGTTTGAGAACCACCTAATTACCATAATTACTCTTTAGTTTTACTGTTTCAGGTCTATTGAGCTCTGGTCAGCCACATTTAAGTTAATTTGATATGATCTTTATGGGTTTTCATTCAAAAAGACAATACAATACTTTAGTGACCTTTGCAAGTGGCTATGGTCTCAAAAAAGTCCTAGAACTGATGGCATTTGGGCTGGGGAGATTGGAACATTCCCTCCTGTTCTTTCATCCCACCACAGCAAATTGCTTTGTAATCTTCCTCAGTTCAGCATCTGCCTTCCTGTCACCTATTACCCTCAGCAAATAGGTGAGCTGACCCTCAGGATATTTATCTAAAAGGACATCTCCCTGCTGCTCAGGGTCTACAGCAGTGATTCGCACAGTGGCTGCATATTAGAGTCACTCTGGGTCACTCTGGGACCTTTTAGGCAGCTCTGGTGGTATAGTGCCTAAGGCATTTGACTGCTAACCAAAAGGGTGGCAGTTCAAACCCACCAGCCACTCCTTAGAAGGAAGACTGGACAATCTACTTTCATAGTAATACTGCCTTGGAAACCCAAAAATGGGTTGCTATGAGTCAAATCAACTTGACAGCAGTGAGTTTGGGTTTTTTGGTTTTGGGGACCTTTTTCTTTCTTTTTTCTAAATATTTTTTATTGAAATATAATTTATGTACAGTGAAATACATAAAACTAAAACTAAAGTGACATGGGTCAATGCTTTTTTTTCAATGTTCCCTCCACTCCCCTTCCATCCCTGGTAACCAACAAAGAAAGTTTTCTTCCATATATAAACCTTTTCTTGACTTTTTAGAATAATGAACAAATATGATATTTATCCTTCTGTGACTGACTTACTTCACTCAGCATAATGTCCTCCAAGTTCATCCATCTTATACAGTGTTTTGCAGATGATTTGGGGACCTTTTAAGAACTTGATCCCCAGGCTACACCCTAGACATTTAACTCAGAATCTCTGGTGATGGGAGCCAGGCAACAGTAGGGTTTAAAACTCCCCAAACCACAGCCATCAAGTTGATTCTGACCCAGAGTGACCCTATAGGACAGAGTTGAACTGTCCCATAGCGTTTCCAAGGCTATAAATCTTTACGGAAGCAGACTACCTCATCTTTCTCCTACAGACAATTTGGTTAGCAGCAGAATGCTTTAACCACTGCACTCCCTGGGGTATCCCATTGTGCAGTGGGCTTGAGAACCTCTGCTCTAGAGAGAAGGGAGGAGGTAAGAGGATTTGGAACAAGAGGGCCTTTCCCTGGGTTTAGGGGAAGGAGCTAAGTAAGAATGAAATGGCTTTGTCTTATTATTTCACTCCTGAGTGAAGGTGGTCCCACACCCATTACCATCAAATTGATTCTGACTCATAGTGTCCCTATAGGACAGAGCAGAAATGCCCCATAGGGTTTCCAAGGCTGTACTCTTTTCAGAAACAGACTGCCTCATCTTTCTGCTGCAGAACAGCTGGTAGGTTCAAACCACTGACCTTTCAGTCATCAGCCACGTGCTTTAACCACTGTGCCACCGGAGATCCTGATAAGGTAGCAGTAGGCATAAAACTAGTGTTGGAGTGAAGAATGGATGGATTTGAGAAAGGACCAGACCAGAGCAGAAATCACTCTTTAGGACATCACCAGATAAATTCCCTGGGACCCAAAGAGGGATTCTCAAGGAATTTAAGACAATTCCTCAAGTAGGATCCCTGTTACACTGAAGGGTAGCTTCTGGTTACTGCGCTGTCTTAATTAGGAAAGTGACCTTTCTAACTCCAACCAAGTCAGGCGCTGATTCAGGCCTGGGCTGTGGGGGCATCTTGTGCAGCATGCCCCCAGCTCACCCAGCTCCTTTCTTGTCCTGTCCTCTCAGGCTTTTCTCTTGTCAGAGTCTCTGTGTTCTCCTTAATTGCCTCAGAGCCGCTCAATTTTGTTGTTAAAAGCTGATCCCTGAGGTAATAGTACATGTTTGTCCCAATCTCCTTTCCTTGCCGACTCTTCAAGTTCCTTCCAGAACTCCCCGTACCTCTTGAAAAGACCCTATTGGACCTCAGAAAGCTTTTTTATTTTTATTTGAATAGGTTGAAAGTTTTTTTTTTTTTTTTCTTTTGAAAAGTTTGAGGTCTGTAATCATTACAGCTGCATAGAGATTATATTTTTCAGGGCCTTCCTAACCAACATGGTCCTGCAATGGTTGAGGCTACAGAGCTTCAGGGGAAGATGTCAGGCATGAGAGCTGCAGGGATGGTGCCAAGCAACTCAGAGATGTGGCTGTCATGAGGATGAGCTGGCCAACCCAGGGAATGAGGCAGGCAGCTTTCAAATGGCCTGAAACTCTGGCTTTGGGGTTTGGTCCATCTGGTCATTCATAGTTAAGAATGCATAATTCTCCCATGTGCATAGCTGTATCTACGCCTGAGTTATACTCTGAACTAATGAGCAGATGTCTGTCTACACATGTTG